ACCTGGTTCACCCAAGCTTTCCAGTTACTGGATTTCTACCTAAAAGGAATTTTTTTTAATGGTTTTGAGCAAACATCAAATTTTACAAGGCTTCTTTTTAATTTTAAGAATTAAGACCACCCGAAACCTGAGGGTTATTTCAAATAATGCCAGCACCAAACCTCAAACTGGCACAGCTGCAGTCTTCATTGAGGGCCAGATCCTTAGAACAGAAAGGAACATCGCAATTTTCATGTTGGGGAAAAATGCTTTTTGCATGTACACATTTATTTTTTAATAGAAAAAAACCAGCCTCTACATCCTTGGGGTTTCACTTCATATTCTTCACGCTTGGCATCAACAGCATTCTTACTCCAAAGACTATTTTTAACAACAGTTTGAATAATAATGACATTTAAATTAATAACATCCCCTTTGCTGGTTTGTCACTGGATGATTCACCCTAAAGCAACCTAGGTGGTTTCAAAAAGTGTAATAGCCTTTTAGTATTAAATAGGAAGCAAGGCATAGTAACACTAGCAGGCCAATACACTACAGATTAAAAAAAGTGCCAATGAACCATAAGCCAAACATATGATGCAGTATCTTCCCAGCGAAGACAACTGAAAAAGCAGAAAGTCCACCTTGTTTCAAATTACAACATTAAGAACGATGGTCCAGCTCTGCAGAGGTTTTCATAAAACATACAACAGAAAGGTAACACAAGCTTTTGTTGTGGCTGTGCTTCATGAGCAAGCTTTTCTACCAAATGCCACATGGCTCTATTAAAGTACCATCATGCCTACATTTAATCAATTTTAAAGACTTAAAATGACATTTGGGGAAAACAGGCCTATCTTCCTGTTGAGGTATGGACTGAGGACTCCTACTACCATATAGAACAATTCCCTAGAAGACTTGGAACAGGAAACTCACATTTGCAAGAGAACCTGCCAAAGCCCTATAAAAGATCTTTAAGATTGCCGGGATACGAATATAGCTCATTTGGCTACCATGCTCAACTTAAGTCTTTTTCTACTGTAAATTATGGTGCCACTTACAATCAGAAAGCTGCATGCTGTGCTGTCAAGGAAGAGCCCATGAGTGTCCATTTCTGGCAGGGCAGAACACACACACTGCCTATTCTCAGTCAGAAGGCCTTAGAGCCAGGGGATATTTTCAGAGGCTCTGCCACTCAAAGGAAGAGCTGAGAAGTGTCAGAAGTTAAGTAGACCAGCTGAGCATTTCCTGGCAAAAGATTAACTCAGGAAAGCGTATTGACCATGGAATAAGAAATATGCCAAATAAAGCACTGTCCCATTAAGTTGAAGACTCATCACTTCTCATTCATCACAAGCAAGGTCAGTGTGTGAACACCACCCAGTAGTAAAGTCAGATGAGAAAGAGATTGCTGCATTTCTTACTCTTGGGGCAGTACCCTCCTCTGATACTTCTCTGGCAAGCAATAAAAAGCCAAGCACACACACATCTGAGGTACAGTTCAGCAGACAGCAGCACAAGAGAAAGCAAGCAGCACAGCCAAGAGGTTTGGTTTTCTTAGCCTCATGATTGGATAGCCTTCACCCCTTTTTAAAACCAGGTAAAAGCTGTGCTTTCTTTATTGTCATCTACAGCTGCTAGGAAAAGACATAATCCTAAACCAGTATCCTAGGAAAAGGATCTCTGGAATGCAACAGCCAGTTTAAACAAATGGAGCCTGCAGTAACCTCAGTCTACACTCAACACAATTTCCACCTGCACTGGCAGTTCTGCCTGGTCACAGAAGCCTGAAGAGAAGAAACTGCAGCAAAGGACTGCTTCAGCTGTGGGTCAGTGACACAGCCTTGGAGAGTTTTGTGAAAAGGAAAGAAAAAGCTACACAGTTACTGGACCTACTGCTACTTCTTCCTCCAAGGCTGAATTGCAACTTCTTAGTACGTATACAGGCATCTATGGAAGAGCCAGAGAAAACTTCATCAAGCAGGACCAACAGGTAGCAGAACTGCAAGATAAGCAGTTATGAGCCTGAAATACCTGTACCCAGTGCTCGTGAGGGAAAGGTGAGAAATGACATTGCCATTGATTGCAGGCTTGGAATGCAGTGGTGAGCAGAAGGATTTGGGCCTCCAGGATATGGCACAGCCTTAATAAATCAGCAAGAGCAGACAACTTCCAGAACCATAGATTTGTTCCACAAGGATGGCAATTTTGAGGCTGGAGAAAAATCACAGGTGTCCTTTACGCACTTGCAAAGCAGATCCAACAGAAAGTGGATGTGAAAGAGCATCAGGGTTTGTTTGTACCCAATAAGGATCCAGGAAGTCTCAACGTAAGCAGGATAGGACACCCTAACTGGATTCTTTGTGCTTCTCTGTGGAATAAAGCTCTCTAAAACCCAGTATTTTGTCCTGTAAAGACAGTGGGCTTCTAGGCACTCACCCTGTTCATACGCATATTCTCTAGTAGCTGTTTCTGACTCTGTCAGGTAGTGTAGTAGACTACATAGACCTCTTGTCTGACACAGTATCACTCTTCATATGAATAATGCGACGGGAAACTCCTCACTCCTGGAAGACACTATGACTTGATTGACCTGTGTAATGCATTTGGCACCTACATTAATGTTCTCTATCCTGCTACGAGATGCAGAATTTATGAATACTACACAGAGGAGTAAGGCCCTCCTAGTGCAGACATTTAACATTCCTGTCTGCTAGCAAGCTTGTTTCTAGACAGAACTACTTTAAACACCAAAACCTAAAAAAAAGTATGGAGATGGAGAAAAACATTTGAAGATACAAACAATGAGTGGCAGGAGTAAAAGGAAGACAAATACTGGCTGTTAAAAATGAAAACAGCGATAACAGCCTTGCTAAGCAATGGTGACCCACGGGAAAATGCTAAAAAGAAAAAGACTGAGTGTCAACTCAAAGAAACTTCCATGGAAAAAAATGCCAAATAAACAAACTAGAAAGGATGTATTTATATGTAATGGAAGAAATCTGTGCACAAGCAGATTAATAGGCCTGGAGAAGTTTCTCCCTAGCAGACAACAAGAGAAAAAAAACATAAAGGTTGCCAAGAACAACTGAAGACTGGGAGACAAATCTCCACCTTCTAGCCATCTGCTGAAGAATACAAGGCATAACACCTCTTCTACAGAATGGTAAGGCAAAAATTCTCCATGGTCAGGTACCTGAGAGGCCTGCACAACCACTCCATAAACGCACATGCAGGCAACCATTCAATATTATAAAGGTGAGTCAGCCAAACACTTAATTCTAAATTTTAAAACTGTGACTACAGACATACTGACAGAATAAAAGAGGAGGGAAAAACAGATGCACATGTGAGCACTCCTCAGTATTTTCCAGAGTTGAAAGAAGAAGGTACAACGCAAGGAATAACCAGCATGCTTCTTTTTTGGCATACTTAAAATTTGTCCTTATTCAATTTTTTTGTTTTCATTTTAATTTTTTGAAGTTCAGCCATATAGGAAAAGGAGGAAAAACAAGGTAATTGGCGGGGGGGGCGGGAAGGGGTTTAATCTGTCTTTGGCATTGTAGTTACCTTCTTAGCTATTGAATTTTTAGATAAACTGAAGAATCAGTTGAGTGGTTAGTCTCTTCTTCCTTCCCCTCCCCTGCTCTCCTACCTCCATGTTTTTACTGCAGAGCTTGTGAAAGGCCACATGAAAAAAGCACTTTTACATTAAAAAAGCATCTATACTTAATAAGATACTGTTAAAAGAATCGCATACTGAAAGAAACAAGAATCCTGACCATTCATTTCTGGTACTGTATCTGTTACTATCACATGCAATAAACCCCACACATCAAGTTAAAGGGGATGATATTATTATCATTTGATAATATTATTTTATTTGTGAAATAATTACTTATTTGTGCAATAATAATAAATACTAAGAGTCAATTCCAAGGGATAATGTCCTTTATGAAGTGTTTTAGGTGGTGCTTTCTGATACATACTGCTATCAAGTGTGGGTTATACTGTGGCACTACTGATACCAACCAATGGGAATCTTTTCAATTTATTAGGAATTCTGAAGATCACATTAGAAAAAACAATAAATTGTCAAAACATTAACTGTATCTTATTAACATGAAAATACATGAGGCAGCTTGTCTGGCATGTGTATATCCATTCACATTTTATCTCTGCTTTGCAGTTCACATAAGGGAGTGTAACATGAACAGGAACATGAAAAAATTACTCTTACAAAAATCCCTTAGTGAAAGAATCAATTATTCATAAAACACTCATACCTAGAGCATGGCATACTTCCACTTAATTATTTTTCTGAATGCATACATGAACCATGAAAAAAGCTGTCACTTCTTTAGCTGTAAACAGTTGCTTTTGTTAGATTACCCCCGCCCTAAAAAAATGCGGATTTCCACATTCAAAGATTATAATTAGCATGCATCATCATTATACTGCTTTGAAGTCTATCATGCAAAAAAATCCTGGCAAGTGTTTTGGCCCCCATTCGTTATCTTTCACAGCTAATTTCACAATACCATTTAAGAAGCAATAATGAAAGTCATTCAGAGGTAATACACACCTCTGTTGAGGTATATGGTTAATGGCAAGTCCTCTCTAGCCAGGTGAAACACTGAGTGCAGACATACAGTAAATATTTAATCTACACAGACTTACTACAGAATTTCACAGTGTATTTATATATACAGTGAGTAAGGTGTGGATTCTACCAGGGACACGCGTATATTCATTTCACCAACACAACTGCTATCTCCAGGTGTTAATTTTATTTATAACATCAGAGGCCTTTATAAGCTAATTCTACATTCATGAGAACAGACAGACATGCACACACCTTTACGGATGAATAATTACGTAAAACAGGGTCCCTTACTATTTTCAGCTCTGCAAAAATACTGCAGTCATGAATTAAACATCACCTTCCAAAGTTCTGTTTTGTGCCTGCTCTGGCAAGGTTTCTGGGAACGCCACCTAGAATTTGAATAGCTTTACATTACCTCCAACCTTAGGCCCACCAGCTGATCCTGGCTTTCTCGCACTGTTTGAAGGATTTCCTGGTTTTTTAGGTGCTGGAACCTTGAAGGCTGAAGCAGCTGATGATGGCCTATTTCCATCCACTGACTCCTCATCATCAAAGCTTTTGTCTAGAAAAAAACACATTAAATAAAAACACAACTATTAGACTGGATATGTATTTATTTCCCAGTCAATCGTTTTGCTTCACAGTTCACAGAAATTGACAAAATGCATGCATAAAAACAAGTATTTGTCACTTTTTCCTCTGTCTCTGACATAGGAATAAAATGACAATGAGAAACAAACAGCATTTTCTACATCTCAGGTTCTTACAAAATATTATTTGGCCTTCATAATTAACCACTGTACAACTGAGCATAAAAATGAATCCTCCATATTCATTCCCACAAAGGGAAAATATCTTTGCAGAGACTGAATATTTTTGCCCATTTCTAAATATCTTCCCCAAGGATAAGCCCTTAATATTTTTTTTTATCATTCCGGTTTACCAAAGACAAATGCTTCGCCCTTTTCTTCTTTTACTCATGCATGCATTTTGTGCTACACATCCTCCCACAATGTGTCTAACCAGCACTCCCTGTCTCTTCCTTCCACCCAGATTTTTCAACTTACAATCACAGATCCTCTTGCAGATCAGCCGCCTCATTCCTCTGATCACTCTTCAATCCCCTCACCCTAGGACGGACCCAGCACCTCACATGGCCGCAGGCAGTAAATTCTCCATACTAAGCGGAGATTCTATCAAAAACTGCTCGCAAACACCCTAGATCCACCACTGAGATTTGTGCCGGCATCTTTCTCTCCCTTCCCTGCACTAGGTGCCGCACAACCAATGAGCTGCAAGGTGACATCATCTTCTGGGAGCCACCGCCAGAGGAAAAGGTGAAAATTCTCCATGCAAATGCATTCATTCCCACACACCCTATTTGCCACTATTCCGATCCTTCGTTAAAAAAATTAGACAGGCAGAAAATACTCCGGGGTTTGCACTCCTCTTGCCTGTAATTTCAGGTTTGTGTAATTTTAATCAAGAAGGAAATTTATCTCTAGTGATTAAATAAAGTAGTCTCAATACTAAATAGTCAGTCTTCCAAAAGAAAAAGAAAAAAAGCCCCAGCATATTCCAGCAGTAGAATGCAACGGTTTCTCAATCTACTACAGGAAGAAGGATTTATCTATAAGCTTGGGTACGGAAATCGTATCAGCCTATGGGTCCTATAATAAATAAAATGGGCGAGGCTGAGACACAGCTGCACTACAGAAATGAAAGACCAATTTAGCATATTACCTGCTCTAAACCCTGCCCTTTCTAAAAAATAAAACACAATAAAATTAATTGCAAAGCTTTGTTATCTCTGGAATGGTGTCTATTTACCCTTTGCCTACTCAGAACTTACTCCTGGTGAAATGTCAACTACATTTAATAATACAGCTTCCCAAAGGAAGGCAGCTTTCATTAAAAGGGTGGTACGGCACTGCTGTTGGAAAAAAACCTTTGCAGCACCATCAGACATGGGTACACTCCGCGTTTAACATGTCCGAGATCACTGCTGCTATAGTTAGTACATTTTTCTAGCGTTAGCAAAAAGCTGTGTGTTGCACCAACAAATCTTCATGATTAAAGCAGCAGCAACTGACCACAAGAAACATCTGGATATGTACCGACAATTTTCACTAAAATAATTAACTTCTCCCCTACCAACACTGATTTTTAAGAGAATCTTGCTACAAATAACAGTGTTTGGATACGTAAACTCCCAAGAATTGGGCAAAAGGCATCAGCCTCCCCCCCACTAGCCTGTGTGTTGCCATGGAAACAGCACTCCCGCTCAGCATAGGGGCTGAGGCAGAATACATTTTGATTCTGCTGCTTTTACTCTTAGTATCTTAAATAGAACAAGACATCAAGATTTCTGAACAGGGAAAACCACTAATCCAAATGCCAGATTAAGTGCAATGAACTAAACACTATTACAGAAGTGTAAACAGTAATGCTTCATATCTAGGATACCTGCAATACTACAGGTAATTTTAAAACAGCATTAAAAATGATCTTGTAGATTTTTAAACTGCATGAACAGATACACATTGTCACTTGAATAAGCTATCATAAAAATATTAAAATTAAAAACGTATTTTTCAAATGAAAATAGCTTTACTGCTGTATTTTTAAGTTTGATAAGGAAACAGGCTAGACTTTCATGTTACTGTACAACAGCACTACAATACAGCATTGATATGCAAATACTGCACAAGAAGCCTTTGAAACAATACAGTTATTTGCAGTACAATCTTAAAAACAGTAAGTGAACATTTGCTCATTTATGCAAAACCTCCTAATGAAGAAAAACCTAAACAACCTCAATCAACAGTGTACTTTGGAAACCAAAGGCTCATATAAATTAATTTTATGTTACCAAGACATTCATTACAAAGGAGTACTGAAGATAGAGAATTGTAGAAGTTACTGCTCAACCCCAAAATGCACAAACAGAATTTCAGAAATACGCAAAGGCAAACATTGCCAGCTACTGACGTGTGTAAACTACAGGATGATATATTAAATAAGGGTCTTGGCAATACTGCCAAATTACTATGCCTAAAGAATATTTTTTTCATACATTTAAAATGTTATTAACACTGGATCAAAAACCTACACTATGAAATAGTTTCATGCAGTTTCTTAGTCCATACAAAACCTTTTTTAAAATGCATAAGTACTGTTGAGAGACATCGAACTGATCTTAACCACTGATACGTGGACATTCTTAACTGGACTCTTCATGATTAATGTCAAAATAAATGTAAAATTAAAGTACAGTCATTAAATGTGTTCCAAAATTCTAGCACAGTACCATAAACCTATAAAATTAATGTGTGAAAATGCTCTGTTTTAATCCTATTAAGGCTGAAGTGGGAGCACAGCTGAGTTTCTTTTGTTGTGGGTTTGTTTTTAAGCAAACAGGATCAGGAAAATTTTGTGCTGCCTTTTACAGAAAACACAGGTTTTCTCCACCCTTCTGGGCCTTTACAGTTTAATTTCCCTCGGCTTTAACAACAACATAACCCTAAGTGATCTTTAGGGACATGCCATTTTCAGAAAGATGTTTAGCAGTTATTTGTAAAGATCTGAAACCTGGCGTCTGCATTTATAGCACTTAATGCAACAGAAGCATTTTGCTTCCAGTATGATGCCCTTTCCATGCGCTCTCACTCATGTGCAAAAATACACTTGTTTGTATCTCTTATAAAAGCATTTCTGTGTCCTTCAGCACACTGAACCCCAGGTCCATCTGTAACTGCTACTCCACAGGGTACAACCAAGGTGCAGCTCTGCTCAAGCCAGGTGAGCCTGTATTTATTATCTACTTATTTAGTACGTGCCTTCATTCGGCTGAAGGACCAGGGCTCGAGCTCTTAACTACCAAAGTGCAGAGTACGATGATGGTTGTACTGTCAGTATCTGTGACTGCAATAATTTCATGCAGACTGCAAACAACATTAATTTCTACAACAAAAGTCATAAATGCCTAAATATAATTGGTATTTCAAAACAAATCTATATGAAGAATGCAGACACTTTTTCATTCTAGAATGGCTAGATAATTTTCATCATAGGTAATTTCCAAACACTTTCAGCGTATCAAAGTTTACATATGCAAGTACACCTGACAGCTGAGAAAGCACTATCCAAACAGAACTGTGCAACACAGCTCAAAGCTACTTAAAACAAGAATAAAAAGCTGTATGAATTGCTAGGAGTGTACAGAGTACCTGAAGTGAAAAATACAATTAATGAAAGACACTGAACTGCAGCTAAATCTCACAAGACTGTTCTCGTGCTCAGTATCTTCATTTTAAATCACAATGGGTAAGAAGGGTTTTGGAGGTAAGCATATCCCACAGAGAAGAGCTTGGAATCTAGTATTGCCAAAAGCTCCTGAAGAAACCTGATGAGCAGCACAAGTCCTCACTCTGGTACAAGTTCTCTTCCAGATGAGCAACATCAAAGCATAAAAAAGAAAAAAAAATAAATTCAAGAAAGTTTGCTCTTACATTCAGAAACCTAGAAATACAAGATTCACCTTCCAAGCATGAGAAGTTTTCTATTCTAATAGAGGAAAGACTTGTAGGAGAGATCCACCTGCAGTCCATGGAGGACCCCACACCAAAGCAGGCGGAAGCCTGAAGAAGGCCATGGGAAGTCCGTGCTGGAGCAGTCTGTTCCCAAAGGACTGCACCCTGCAGGAGGGACCCATGCTGGAGCAGTTCATGAAGAACTGCAGCCCGTGGGAAGGACCCATGTTGGAGAAGTTTGTGGAGAACTGTCTCCCATGGGAAGGGCCTCACGCCGGAACAGGGGAAGATCGTGAGGAGTCCGCCCCCTCTGAGGAGGAAGGAGCAGTAGAAACAACCTGTGATGAACTGACCACAACCCCATTCCCTGTCCCCCTGCACCGCTGGAGATGAGGAGGTAGAGAAATTGGGAGCAAAGTTGAACCCAGGAAGAACGAAGGAGTAGGGGGAAAGTGTTTTAAAATTTATTTTATTTCTCTTTCTCCTACTCAGATTTGATTGGTAATACACTGAATTTATGTTTTCCCCACACTGATTCTGGTTTTTGTCCATGACAACTGGTGAGAAATCCCTCCCTGTCCCTGTCTAGACCCATAAGTCTTTTGTTGTATTTTCTCCTCCTTATCCCACTGAGGGGGAGGAGTGAGAGGCCAGGCGATGTTCAGTTGCCTGCTAGGCTTAAACCAAAAGAAAATCTTACTTGTCTAACAGTACTAGGGTTGTAAATACCAACTTGCGGTATTTTACAGTAGATTGACAACAGTTAAACCAGAGAACGTAGTTAACTTTAATAAAACTGCTTATAAACTTTGACTTTTGTTAAAAGCATATCCTTCCTATATCCATTTCTTTTCAAGTATTGCTAACCAATACTAAACGTTATTGAACTACCACTAACAGCTCCCCTTTCACACCACAAACTGTTTATAATTACATGATTGCAAAACCCTGCCCAAGCAAAACAATGACAAGCAGATGAACTCCTCACATTTCCCAAGTCGCTCCCACATCCTGTGCCTACCAAGCTACTGACTGCCAGTCTCTCTTGGGCGATTCCCAAACAAGGACTGCATCCATTACTGGGAACATCTGGGCCTGGATTGTTTACTCAATTCCACATCAACTGCTGCAGCCTACAACAGTTTTTGTCAAGTATGAAAAAGCAGCCGCGAGCACTACAGATGCACCAGGTTAGTTGATCCTTCTAATCCATACTTCAAGCCAATGCCCAGCATCATTTAGTGAGCACTTGATCCCTTACACATCGGGCATTCCATACAGCCCGAATCTGTTTGTCCTGACACAAAGGACCGGATTCATTTGCCTAAGCACAGTCATTTAAAACCAGTTTAGACAGTCCTGGGTATCCTGTCTGGCCACCAGCTGACATTCCAGAAGGGCACAGATTTCTTGTGGGTCTCCTACCACACTTGTTTGTTCCCTGTGGCTGGTGTGGATACTGCAAGGCACCTCAAGGGGCACCAGATGCCTATGTCTGGGCAGCTGCATTGCAGTTAAGATGCTTTAGATCTACCACAAATGTGTAATTTCTGGGCGTTCTCCCTGTGC